TTGGACTGCAAGGAGATCCAACCAGTCCATCCTGAAGGAGATCAGTCCTGGGTGTTCATTGGAAGGACTGATGCTGAAGCTGAAGCTCCAATGCTTTGGCCACCTGATGTGAAGAGCTGACTCATTGGAAAAGACCCTGATGCTGGGAAAGATTGAAGGCAGAAGGAGAAGGGGACGAGAGAGGATGAGATGGTTGGATGGCATCACCAACTTGATGGACATGGGTTTGAGCAAGCTCTGGGAGTTGGTGATGGACAGGGAGGCCTGGAGGGCTGCAGTCCGTGGGGTGGCAAAGAGTCGGACACGACTGAGCGACTGAACTGAACTGAGCTGACACTGACACGTCGTTATCAGGCAAGTCCAGTTTACAGCAGCATTCAGCCTGGTGTTACACAGTCTGTGGGTTTTCACAAATGTGTAATAACTTGTATCCTGTATTGTATCATACAGAATAGTTATACATCTTTTATCAGGGGTCTCCAGAGAAACAGAACCAATAAGAAAGACAAATAGATAGATAGACAGACAGACAGATAGGCAGGCAAGCAGGTGGACGTTAAAGGAGATTTGGTATAGGTTGCGTGTTTGATTATGGAGGCCGAGAAGACCCACAGTCCGGCATCTGGAAGCTGGAGCCCCAGGAAAGCTGGCAATGTGACTCGGTGAGTCTGAAAGTTGAAAACAAAGGAACAGATGCTCTGAGTCCAGAGTTTTGGAAATCGAGGGGCTGATGGTTTAAGTTGTTGTGCTAAGTGTGTCTGACTCTTGGTGACCCCATGGACTGTCACCTGCTGGCTCCTCTGTCCATGGAGTTTTCCAGGCTAGAATACTGGAGTGGGTTGCCATTTCCTACTCTAGAGGACCTTCCTGACCCAGGGATTGAACCTGTGTCTCTCCTGCATCTCCTGCATCGGTTAAGTGGATTCTTTACCACTGAGCCACCCAGGAAGCTTGGTAAAGTCCTGGTCCAAGTCCAAAAACCTGAGAAACAGGAACTCCTGTATGCAAGGGCAGGAGAAAATGGACGTCCCAGCTCCAGCGAAAAAGGAAAATCACGCTTCCTCCACCATTGTTTTCTGTTTAGGCCCTAAATAGATGGGACCATGCCGACCTGCCTTGGTGAGGGTGGTCTTTACTCAGGTTACCTGTTCAAATGCTGAGACACCCTGACAGACACACCCAGAATGGTGCTTCCCCAGCTCTCTGGGCATCCCTTACGCCAGTCAGGTTGACGCTAATTAACCTCGCACTGCCCTAAACGTCCACTGTGCTCTGCCCGTGCTTCGCTGCCTCATGAACCCCTGGAGCCACTGAGCCACTCAGCGTCTCCAGAATTTTCCCTTTTTCCAGAATGTCATATAGTTGGAATCATACAGTATATGGCCTTTTCATAGTGACCTCCTTCACTTATTAATATGTATGAGTACTGTTCATGCAAGGATAGCAATATTTCACTTCATAATATTCTATGTGGCTGGGTAGCTCATTTCTTTTTGGTACACGTTCATTTTTTTAAAAACTCATTTCCTTTTAGTTCACTCCTTTTTATTGTGAATAATATTCCCTTGTCTGGATATAGCACAATTTATTTATATGTTCACCTACTGAAGGACGTCTTGTCTGCTTCAAGTTTGGGCGATTATGAATGAAGCTACTATAAACAGCCATGTGCAGGACGTTGGGTAGACATAAGGTTTTAATTCGTCTGGGAAGATACCAAAGAGGACTGCTGGATTGTTTGATAAGAATACGTTCTGCTTCGTAAGAAACTGCCAGACATCTTCCAAAGTGGCTGCACCATTTGGCATCCCACCAGCAATGAGGGAGCATTCCTGCGGCTTCTCACCCTCGTCAGCATTTGATGTTGTCGGTATTTTTTATTTTTACCATGTGTAGTGTTATCGCATTGTTATTTTAATTCATTCTTTTTTTTTCTAATTTTGTTTTGGTACATGTGGAACATTATCATGATTCTGAGAGAGCGGTATGGAAAGTCTTACTCAGGAGAGCATTTCTCCCTCCTCACCCTGCTCCTCGGCCTCCATCCCCCTCATCTCTCTGTCCCTTACCCACTCCAGCCTTGCAGGGATCTAGTCTTCAGGTTCCAGATTATCCTTCTGTATTTGTTTTGTACAAATGAGCAGGTGCAAGTCTATTTTCTTACATACCCTTCCTTCATACACGAAGAATATCCATATTCTTCCACACGTAAGAATGGTTATTTTAAAGTCTGTCCCTGAAAACACGTCGTCGGGTAACCTGCGTGTCTGTTTCATTGCCTGTTCTCTCTCCCTCTCTCCTTCTCAGTTGTGTCTTGTATCATCTCCCTGTATATTTGTCACTAAGTACTGGGCCCTTGAGTATAAGAAATTAGAGAAGTAACTTACAGCCGAGCATGGTGCGATCAATAACCCCTCCAGGGCGGATGTAGATGGACTTCTGTCGGGCGTTCAGGAGAAAGGGCGGCCGAGGCCACCCTAACGCAGCCCCAGAACTGAGGTGAGGCGGCGGTGGGCTCCCACTGCCGGCGACGGCCAGTCCACTGCCAGTCCACCTCTCCTCCCTGGAACAACGCTCCTTGGCAGAATCTGGACTCCCAAGTTTTGCCCTCCAAACCTCAAGGAGCCCCAGATGCCTTGTTCATCTCCTGGTCACCTGGTTTTCTTGGATCTTGGCCTTGTTTCGTTTTTATTTTCTGCCTTGTTAGCTCCTGAGAGCCTCAGACAGGTGCATGCATGCTGAGTCACTTCAGTTGTGTCTGACTCTCTGCAGCCCATGGACTGTAGCCCAGCAGGCTCCTCTGTCCATGGGATTCTCCAGGCAAGAACACTGGAGCGGGGTGCCATTTCCTTCTCCAGGAGATCTTCCCGACCCAGGGATCGAACCCATGTCTCTCATGTCTTCTGCATTGGCAGGCAGGTTCTTTACTGCTAGTGCCACCTGGCAAACAGGTGGTTGTAATATTTTAACTTTTTGATTGTCCTTATTGGTAAGTATGCATGAATTCTTCCATTATAGAAGCAGAAGTTCCTTCACTGTTTATTACCTCAAGACTAACAGTTTCATTTTAGATAATTATATTTAGTAATTTAAACTTTTTGTCTCTAATTTTGTACTTCTTTTGTGTGTTTAATGAGCATGTTTTGTGCACATGTGTGTGCACAGTCACATTGTTCTATTAGTTGACGTTTTTGTTGATCTAATCTTGTTATTTTTCTCGTTAACTGCCCCTCATAGTAGGCTGTTTGCTTGTGTATGCTGTAATTTGGGTTGCAGCGTTATTTTAGGAGGCCCCCTCTGCACGGCCTGAAGCAATACTGCCTTTGCTTCTGTGACGGCTCCTGCCACGCCACCATCCTGAGACCAATTTTCATATTAATTTTTCCTCTGGGTTGAGAATAAATGAATACCAAACCTACGTGAGGCTCAGCACTTTGGTTTCAAACTCTCATGGATGACCTTTTACCCTATCTGGAACCTAGGCTGAGACAAATTTCTTTATCATCTTCTAGTGCTGGGAAGATATTTTTATCTGGATTATCATTTCCCAAGAGTTTACTGCCTCAAGAGTCCTGACTTCATGCAGTGTCCCATTTCCAGTTAACTTTCTGCCTGCAAGGCTTGTCTTCTGTTCTTATCTGGATGTTAAAACAATCCATTATTTAATAAGACCAGCCATTGCCCACTTCACCACTTCACCGCCTGACCGTTGCTGGATCAGCTCACAAGCTTGTTACTAGAGTTATCGGTTTTCTCTTTGTTTTTGGCCCCCAGGGATTTCTTTTCTTTTTCTTGAAGGCACTATGGTGCTTTAAAAATAATGCTTATTATATTTTAGTCAGAACTTCTAAGTTTCTATAGGGGAAGGCTTTCAGGTTGTCTAACCTACCATTACTAGAAAAAGAAGTTAAACAATTTTTCCTAATCATACTATCACTATCATGGCGACACGAAAGGAAAAGTCTGAATTTTTTTTTGGTGAACAAGTGCGCAGAACTGCCCTACCCGACAAGGTCTGGACAGTAATGCTTCGTCCCCTTCTCCTTGTCTCCCCAAGAAACAGCCAGAGAACACTCTAGAGGCCGACCTGCCTGTGTCCACTTCAGCCCCAGCGAAGGCGGTGCTGGGGACAGGTGTCTGGGAGCCTCCGCTGCCGGGAAGCCCAGAGGTGAGACGGCTGCTGAGCCGCGCGGCGACGAGGGGAGAGGCTCCTGCAAGCAGCTGTCCCGCGTGCGGACGGCCGGGCCCGCCGCGGAAGGCGAGGAGCGCAGCCGGCGGCCTGAGGCAGCCCCCAAGGCCGCGCGCTTGCCGCCGAAGAGGCGCGGCCAGGAGCTCAGAGGAGGGAGGCGCTCCCCGGCCGGGTCCAGCAGGCCCGGCAGTGCCAAGGGGGAGGCGGTCCACGCCGGGCAGAGCCCCCCCAACCACCGGACGCCAAGGACCACGGTGACCCAGGACAAGCTCGCAGGAGGGGCCTCCTCAGATCTGCCTCCGAGCACAGAGGTGTTGCGATCAGGAGTCAGAAAGCTGGGGGCATCGGCCCGGTCTGAGGACACTCGGCTGCCCACGGAGACCGATCCGGCTCCCGGGGCCCTCCCTGCGCAGGCTGTGAACATCGCCCTTCTCCCTGTAGAGCTGCGGCTGCAGATCATCCAGAGAGAAAGAAGCAGGAAGGAGCTGTTCCGCAGGAAGAACAGGGCCGCGGCGGTCGTCCAGCGGGCCTGGAGGAGGTAGGAAGGCAGGGCACAAGAGCGCTGGCTCTGTCTGTCCTCCGCCCGGCCAGTCACTCACTCTGCCTTGGGACGCTCTCTTCATCTGTGCAGTTTTGTTTATCTAGGGCTTCTCTGGGTCTTCATAGCTGCACGGGCTTTCTTGTGGCTGAGGTGAGCGGAGGCTGCTCTTTCCTGGGGTGGGGGGGCAGGCTCTGCGCAGCGGCGGCGTCTCGCTGCGGAGCGTGTGCCCCAGAGCACAGCCTCGGGGGTGGGGTGGCGCACAGCCTCTGGTGTGGCGTGGCGCACAGCCTCGGGGTGGCGCACAGCCTCGGGGTGGCGCACAGCCTCCCGGGTGGCGCACAGCCTCCGGGGTGGTGCACAGCCTCGGGGTGGTGCACAGCCTCCGGGGTGGCGCACAGCCTCCGGGGTGGCCCACAGCCTCGGGGTGGCGCACAGCCTCGGGGTGGCGCACAGCCTCCGGGGTGGCGCACAGGCCCGGCTACTCAGAGGCGTGTGGGATCTTCCCAGACCAGGGACTGGACCTGTGTCCTGCATTCCAGGTGGGTTTTTTCCCGCCGAGCCAGCAGGAAAGCCCTTGTGATACTCTAGGGAACTGCATGTGCTGGCCTGACAAGGCCAGTTTTCCTACCTATGAGGTTCACACATGTTTAGATCTTAAGAATCTATAATAAGCTGTTTGGAAGGTGTTTTTACCCAGAAAGATAGGAGAGCACCCAAGATGGTGGGCTGTAAGTGAACACCCGGGAAGCCTGAGTTTCAGGTGAGGCTCTAGCATTACCTGACCTTGAGCAGCGGCCTCCCTGGCCCTGGCTCTCCTCCTCTGTGAAGCGGTGTTTAGCAGTCGCTGCCACCTGTCCTGCTTGTGTGACGGGTTGCTGGAATGAGATACCGTGTGCTGTGTAAGCTCTAAAGCACTGCACATGGAAGATGGTTTCCCCTCTTTACTCCTCAGGAATCGGACTCACTGCCCTGAGGGACTGGGCGTTATCGTAGAAACCCGCGTGCGCTCGGAGCGCGGAGCGGTGCTGGGAGCGCGGCGGGCTTCCTGGGGTGCCGCGATGCGCACAGCAGGGCGTGCGTCGGGGAAGAGCGCGGGAGCCCTGCGCCTCCGGTCCTCTCATCTCGCCGCAGGCCCTCCCAGGGCCCCAGTCCAGGTTAGGCCGTCCGGTGTGGACCACAGCTGGGGGACGGCCGGACCGTCCTGGGCCGGTGGGAGCCATGCCGTCCCCGCCCGGAGAGCGGGGAAGCGTGACGGGGGAGCAAAGCAAGCAGGTCAGTGCCCCTGTGGGGAGATAAAAGCGCCAGGGAGCCTGGCGCTGGCAGAGGCAGAGCTGAGTGTCCTGGGCGGTCCCGGGAGAGGCCTCAGGGATCTTCGTGCGGGTCTCCTAGCCCAGAGCCCAGCGACCTGCCCGGGGCCTGCCGGCCATCACTGTAGGGTGCCCGCGCGTCTGCTTAGGCTCGGCAGTTTGGTCACCTCGTGCGCGACCTCCTCGGGTCTCCCAGCCACGCCAGGAGCTGACACAGCAGGGCTTCGTGTCCATGCTTTGCAGACAAGCAGACGTTCTCAGGAAACAAGGCTGGTCCTGATGGTCAGATCCAGCACTCGAAGTTCGGTCTGACTTAGGTCCAGGCCCCTTTCCCTTAGGTTCTCTGAAGGCAGTGTGTGCCGTGGCCAGAATAATGGAGGCACAGGCCGACCTCGCGCGGTGCGGCTCAGAACCGGCTGGAGGAGAGCGGGCTGCCTGGATGGTCTCACCGCATCAACACGTTTTTATAATGTCATGGGGTTTGTTGTTATCGCTGTTACTAATACCGGTGGTTGTATTCATCCGCGCTCCCGGCAGACACCGCTGTGAGTGGTCGCACGTGTATAAACGCGCGTAATCCCTGTGAGGGACGCCGGGGACACGGCTCCCCAGCCAGCCCCGCTCACGAAGCCGGTGTGCGCCGGCACTGGCCTCCCACTCGGCCGGTGACCTCTGCAACCGCAGGTGGGAAGGGTCCTTGCTCCCCCGTCCCGGGTGCTCCGCCAGGACGGGCGCTGGCCACCATCCCAGAGGCAGCTCCTGTTAAGTATCTCAGCTGAAACCTGGGATCCGGACAAGCCTGAGGCTCCCCAGCTGCGGGGCCTCCCCGTCAGACTGGCCTCTGGCTCCTTTGAAGAGGCAGCGCTGACAGAGCCTGTCAGCCCGTGTCCGCAGCAGCAAATGAGCCCGTCCTCCTCCTCAGGAAGAGCGGGCTCGGTCTGCGCGCCCACCTGGGGAGGCAGTTGCCAGGCCCCTCCGGCTGCCCCCTGTGCATTTCCGAGGCCTGGGACTTCAGCCCCAAACGGCTTCTGGGAAGCTGCGCGCTGTGGCGAGCCCTTTAGACTGCTGCAGCCACGTCTGCCTTCTGTTTGAAGCCCAGGACCCCCAGTGCCACCCAGGACGACCTGGGGTGTCCGGGGTGTCGTCAGGGGCCCCGAGGGCAGGGCTGGGGAGCCCCCGTCAGCCCAGGTCCCCGTCCTAGGACGGACGCCCAGGGAAGCAGGCGGCCGGCGGGAAACACACCGGGCGGGCTGAGCAGATTGAACCTGGGGCCCAGAGAAGACGAAACTCCGTCTTAGAATCTGAGTTTTGTTACCAGTGAAGACTGGACTATTTGAAAGGCTGAACCTGGATACTGGACAAGCTGGGCTGGGTGGAAAGTGCTGCGGTGAGGAGGAGCTGCTGTAGGAAGCACGGTCATCAGCTCCGCCCCAGCGGCTTCTGACGTAAATAAGCGAGGAGCGGCTGGGCCGCAAGCAGCGCCCTGCACCCAGGCTGAGCGCGACCACTGGGTGTGTTTGGGTCTCAGCAAACCAGGCGCGCACGCTCTCCTCGAGGACAGGAGACCACCAGACAGACTCGGCCTCCACACCAGAGTCTGTGAGGTGGCAGTCTGTGACAGAGCAGAGCAGGGGGCATGGAGGAATTGGAGCGGGGAGCTGTGTTGTCCCGTAACGCTTACTTCTGTCTGTAATTGGCTTTTGGGAAACATGGGACCTTCTAGTAAAGGGGTGCCACGGTTTGTCATGCTCTGCGGAAGGAAGGAAGACCCATGTGGTCCTACTGTGACCGGCCTTCAGGGCGGGAGGAAGGTCCTGTCCCAACTGGTGTGTGTGAAGCCCGGGCGCACTGGGAGACGTTAATCAGCTGCGGTCAGTGAACCCTGCTGCAGCTTCCCTGGGAGGCTGCACGACAGCCAAGCTCAGCAAGAGCTGGGGCAGGCACATGGGATAAACACGGGAAGAAAAACCCCAGAGGTAAATGTGGCCATCACCCTGGTGCCCCTCCCCTCTCCCCCACCCCAGGCTCCACCCTCCAGCAGAACGGTCTTACCAAGACTTAGTATAAAACTCAGCTCTTGACCTTTGCCATTGTTCTTAGAAACCTCAGCATCCCCACCAAGTACAGAGTAGAGACCAAGTCATTAGCAGTGTTTGGCTGCTGGACTAGACAAGCACTGATTTGAATGTTGGCTTCTCCTGGCTCTGTTAGCCTTTCCCCTCCAATTTCTATTGTGATGTAACTGACATGTGGCACTGCGTAAGTTTAACGTGTACAGCATAAGGACCTGGCTTACATATGTTATGAAACTATTACCACAAAAGTTTAGTGAACACCATCATCTCACACAGGTAAAAGGTTTTTTCCCTTGTGATGAGAACTCTTAGGATTTACTCTTTAAAAACTTTCACATGTCGTAAAGAAGTGTTTATAGTCATCACATTGTACACTGTATCCCCAGTACTTATTTGTCTTATAACTGGAAGTTTGTACCTTTTGATCATGTTCATCCAGTTCACCTCCCCCAATCTCTGATGACCACAAATCTGATTTCTCTATGAATTTGTGTTCTATTTGTGAAGATGGCACATGTAAGTGAAATAATATTTATCTTTATCTGAAATAAGGTCTTCAGGGTTTGTCTATGTTGCTGCAAATGGCAGCATTTCATTTTATGACTGAATAATATTCTGTTGTGTATATATATATAATACACATATATATTGGAAAGAAACACTGTGACCAACCTAGGCAGCATATTAAAAAGCAGAGACATTACCAACAAAGGTCCGTTTAGTCAAAGCTATGGTTTTTCCAGTGGTCATGTATGGATGTGAGAGTTGGGACTGTAAAGAAAGCCAAGCACTGAAGAATTGATGCTTTTGAACTGTGGTCTTGAAAAGACTCGAGATTCCCTTGGACTGCAAGGAGATCCAACCAGTCCATCCTAAAGATCAGTCCTGAATATTCACTGAAAGGACTGATGTTGAAGCTGAAACTCCAATACTTTGGCCACCTGATAAGGAGAGCGGACTCACTGGAAAAGACCCTGACGCTGGGAGAGATTGAAGGTGGGAGGAGAAGGGTCCAGCTGAGGATGAGATGGTGGGATGGCATCCCTGATGCGATGGACATGAGTTTGAGTAGAGTCCAGGAGTTGCTGATGGACAGGGAGGGAAGCGTGGCGTGCTGCAGTCCGTGGTGTCGCAGTTGGACACGACTGAGTGGCTGACTGATAAGACATAGATAATACACAGTATTCTATTGTGTGTGTACATACATAAAACCACCTCTTTATTCATTCACCCATCAGTGGACACGTCCTAGCTATGGTAAAATAATGCTGCTGTGGATACAGGGATCTCTTCAATGTACTGCTTTCATTTCCAGTTATACACTCACAAGTGGGAATGCTGGATCCCATGGTAGTTGTTTTAAGTTTTCTACATTTGAAGTAATTATTGGCACGTGTGTGCCAAGTCATGTCCGAGTCTGTGTGACCCCGTGGACTGTAGCCCTCCGGGCCCCTCTGTCCGTGGGATACTGCAGGCAAGAATCCTGGAGTGGGTTGCCACGCCCTCCACCAGGGGCTCTTCCCCGTCCAGGGATGGAAACCATGTCTCTGACGTCTCCTGCACTGGCAGGCGGGCTCTTTACCAGTAGGGCCACCTCAGCCCAGTTATTAGTAGGTGAGGACGTACTATTGCCGTTTTTGTCGTCTGGTTTTGTTGATCCATTGTTCCATCTTATTTTTGTGTTTTGATGCCTTCTGGTGTCAATCTGCATGGACTTCTTTATCATGTTCCTTGGTATAATTAGTACAGGTTTTATCCCTGTGATTACCATGAAGCTTATATAGAGTATCTTAAAGTATCATTATTTCCTTTGGTATCATACTTACCTGTGGTTTTTTTTTTTTTTTTGGGGGGGGGGGGGACGGTGTATCCTTGGTTCCTTATGTTGGCATCTATGCATCTGAATAAGCAGCCTCCTCTCCCAAGTTTGCTTTGGCAGAGACGGTTCTTCAGCACTGAGCTCAGTTTGGTTTTCTGGACGTTGTCTGTTGATGATGTACTTGGGCAGGTGGGACTTGCTTTCTCTTTTTGGGCAAGGCCACTGCCTAGGCTCTAAGAACGTGTGGTGGGGTTGGGGGCGGGGGGCGGGTCGAGAACAGCTGGACAGGACTGCTGCTTTGGTTCCCTGCTCAAGTGAGGCTGTAGGTTGGGCTCTGCAAGTTGCCCGGCTTCTCTAGCCAGGCTTACTTAGTCAAGACTGGCAGCAGGCAGAGCTAGGATTTACCGTCCTGCTCTGGTTGGACAGGACGCCCCAGCACCGGCACTGAATTCCCTGGCCAGACACAGCCACTAGTTTTATTCTGTAGAGGGGGAAGCCATGGGCAGTCCTCTCCCCAAGTGCTGCTCTAAGGACTAGGGGATGGGTTTCAAGGCTTGAGTGTACTCTGGTGAGGTCCCCTGGTTGGACGGGCTGAAGGTGTATTCAGCCATGGTGGAGCTTGGGATTACTTTCCCTACCCAGGCAGAGTGGCGGAACTGGTTCTAAAGGTGGCTTCTTTGTGATCTTGATTCAAGCTGCCCTGGTCCCCAAGGTCCCTGGCTGGACAATGCTTTGGCTTTGCGGATGATCGGCTTTGCCCGCTTTGCCCTCTTCTTGAGCATTGCTGGGCTGCACAGCGTCCGGGTGGTCTGGCCAGCCTTTCTGGTCAGGAAGCGACCAGAAACTACTCAGCCATGGGCTGGGCTATGACCCAGCTCTCCTGCCGAGGCAGGGTCAGACCAGGCTCCAAGGCCAGCAGGGTTGTGTGTGTAAGAAACTGGATCCAGGAAACTTGACCACCAGTGAGCTCCCTGCTCAGACTGTGCTGCCGTCTTGTTTCTGCAGAGTCCAAACAGAGCCACTGGTCTGAGCTACCAGTTGGACTCTGCAGGTAGGCTCTGCCAAGATCCTTATGCTGGTTGTTTCAAGCCCCTCATTCCTGCTCTGTCATCACTGGGCTCCCAGTGGGTAAGCCCCAGAGTGCCCTGCAGTCCCCATGGAGTAAGACTGGAGTTGCTCCCAAGAAGCAGCCCATGATGCTGGGGGAGCGGGAGGTCCACCCTGGGCTCCTTTCCCACTGGGAGAATCGTGGGCTCGGGGTAGAGCCCTCCGTGTGATGCTGAGCCAGCCTGAGGGGCGGGGGTACCCTTCTAAATGTCTCGGCATCTAGAGCAGGGGGTGCTTTAGCCGCATCCCCATGTCCCAGGATTTTCTCACTGCTGTCTTTCTTAGCCAGAAATAACTATTAGCTGCTGTTCTTGTGATGGGGAGCAGTCGAAATGGATTTATGTCACCATCTTGGTGATGTTCCTCTCGACTCAGCCTTCGTCAGCTTCATAATGTCTGCCTCACAGGTTTACTTTCAGACTTAACCACAGGGGAGGTGCCTGGTATCCAGGAGACCCTGACCAAATGCTGGTTCCTTCCACTGTGGGGCCCGGTCTCCAATCCTCCTTGCCTTGCCAAATACATAATCCTTTGCACACATCTCACTCCACTAGTGAAGATTCATGCACAAATGCTCACATCTCTAGTCACGCCAGTTCTGCTGCCCACAGTGCCCTTCCCTGCCTAGCCAGCTTCCACTCATCCCTTGAACCCAGCACAAAGCCCAGCCATCCAGCTCCCAGCTCTCACACAGTACTTCTCACACTTGATTTGTTCGTTCACACTTGGCAAGGACCCATCTAAGGGATTCCTAGTTCAGGAAGTACTGATGGACGGGGGCAGAACTCAATATACAACACACTGCCACTGAAATTAGGAATGGCAGTTTGAGTGAATCTCAGAGTCCAGCAACCACTATTCCTATAGCTTCTAGGAACTTCCAGGGACACTGGTTTTCTCAGTACTAAGACCTTAAATTCTCTGCCCTCCTGACTCCCCCCCCAGCTACCAGCTCAGGAAGCACCTGTCACACCTCCTGCACTTGAAGCGGCTCGGAGCCAGAGACATGGACAGATGGAACCGAGAGTGCCTGGCTTTGATCCTCCAGGTTTGGAGGAGGGAGCTGGAACTGAAACCCCCGAAGACCATGGCAGTAAGCAAGACCACCAAGAGCCCACCCAAGGGCAGCTCGGGCGGCAAGCCCAGCAGGCACTCAGCGCTCAAGCAGATCTACGGTAACTGTCCTGCGTGCTTTACGGCAGCACCCCGAAGTGCGTCACCTCAGACTGTGAAACAGGATTTAATTACGTTGGGCAAACCTCCATTTAGGTAGGAACTTTATTAAACAGCCAGGCACCAAGAGAATTCTCATCGTATTTATGCCTCCCTTGCAGCAACTCTGGGTTAGAATTAGCTTCATGAAGCATTCTGATCTCAACCAAGAGTGCCTTACTGCCAAGAGATTGTCTGCTGGGCTTCCTGATGGAAGCCTCACCATAGCACGCTCTCTAGACTGCTGCTGGTTTTCCCCTTAAATTCTCCAGTTAGAGGATCCCAGGCCCAGGTCGACCTGCCGGCCTTATGCTGCCCTTCCATGCGCTTAGATAGCACAGAGCTCCCTGTCTACAGGAACAGCCCAGATCCATGCACTACAGTACACGCCTGTCTGGCGAATAAACTGCTGCACACGGAGACCCTTTCAGCTCTGCAGAGTGCCTGACTCGCTCCTTGATGGAGGGAGCAAAAGTTACGGCACCTCCACACACAGACCTGCGGCCCTGGCAGCGAAGCCTCCAGGCTTGAGCCTGGGCCTCCGTGGCTCTCCACTTCCTAACCAACCTATCTTGGTGGCACCTGCCGCTCAGGCCTTCCCCTCAGCAAGAAATCCAGCACTTGGTCAGGCCACAGCTGTCATTGGTCAAAAATAGGTAACTGTTGACTGATTTCAGGTTCTCAAGAAGGGAGAGTGCGCCAGCCCACAAGGTCTTCAAAAGCCCCCTCTGTGCTGGGTCTCAGCTCAGGTAAGGCAGCCCCTACGTGGCAAAGCAGACGGGAGACCATGCAAGAAACACGCCCCTTTTCTGTTTCATCCCCAAAGGTGGAGACACTGGAGCAGACTGCCAGGGGGTTCCAATGGCCAGTTATTTCAGGGCTGCATGTTTTTCATCCCCCTTTCATGGAATTAGCACAATAAACATCTCTTGTTCAGAAGAGACAAGTTATTTTTATAACCCAAAACTTAACAGTACCTCCAGCAGAAATAATAAATGGCTCCTATTACTGATCCCTTTACCAAACTTGTTCACATACAAGAGGGGTAAGGACAAGTACTCTTATTCTCCAAAGTAATATCCTGGGAGTTCTTGTTCTGTTCTGGTTTCCCATTAAGATCCACCATCTCCTCCTCAAAGATGGGAAGAAGTCCCTTTACTACAAATTCTGGTTTTGCCTTTTAGGGCCACCTCAGGAGGACATTTACTATTTAACAGTAGGTCCAGCTCAGGTTCAGCTGTCCACACCTTCACTCACACAGGAGCAGTTCAGGGAACTCTCTTTTTAGCCACCAGACAAGATGCCTTGCTCAGGGCCCCTCCGCTCACGCCAGCATTCAACGCGGGTGATAAGTTCAGCGCTGTCAGCAGCGAATGCCAGGCCTAGTGCTGCTTGTGGGTGGCTATGGCAACACGCTCCCCCAGTCCCTGATCCAGTCACCCGGCAGGGACGGCGCAGCTGGGGAGGCGAGCAGTGACTGTCAGCACGAACTTGAGCATTCGTTTAGTTTTTGATGGGGGAAAATCTGGAGATGGGGGACTGTAATTACTACCAAAGCTTTAATAAGAGTTGGGCAATTCATGTCATACAGGCAGGCTGACCAGGGCAATTAGAAACTCAAAGGAGTCAGGCCATAGTTCTAGGTTTAAAAGAAAAAAAAAGCCACACACGTCTAGTTATCTTGAGTGAACTGAGGAATAGTTTCAGAAACAACTGTTAGATAAAATTACTTTAAGACGTACCATTTTTGGTATTTTGGTATTTTATTCTGTCTCGACAAAGTCCAGGACTTTCAAATCTTTAAAAATGAAGATGTATAACAGCATAAGAGGTTTTATGTTAAAGGACTCACAGTTAAAGACAGAATAAACAAAATAAATTGTCAGTAGTTTCTTAGAACTTTCTATGAATTATCAGCTTGTCTATTCTACACTGGCTTGAAAATGGATGAGGACAGAAGAGAACCTTTTCCCAAACCCAAACTTGGGGGACAAAGGTTTTATGAGGCCCACCTACCTACCCACATTAATCACTGACCTGTGAATAAGGCTGATGGGCAGAGCAGGAAGCTAGTTAGCAGCAGCCCATGTTTTATTCAGAATACATGTCTATAAATTTCCATGGAACGGGCATGACTTGGACAGACATATTTGTTTCTGCAACACGGCATCACAGATGGCCAACTGAACCAAGGAAGACAAGCCGTGCTTTAGTCTTTACCGTAAGTAGAAATGTTTGCTTTGAAGGACTTCCCTGGCAGTCTGCACTTCCATTGCAGCAGGCGTGGGTTCCATTCTAGGTCAGGGATCTAAGATCCCACATTCCTTGAGGCACAGCCAAAAAGTTTTTAAAAAGTTTAAATTTGTTTGCTTTGAGAATTCCATCGAGTTAAGGATGTATGACTTGTTTACTGTTTACTTAGCTTTAGTGCATTGTTGGGCACATTGTAGGTGCTCAGATCTGAGTTAAGATTGTGGCTCCTAACCTTCAACTCACGGAGAGGTGTGAGTAGTGCTTTTATCTCTTAAAAGGAATAGAAAGTTAGCGGGATAAACCAAAGAAACAAACTCCTCGGACTGTTTCTTTACATGTATGCAGGAAACAAACAACTGCATTCTCCCCAGTCTTCCCACCCACCTGCAAACCACCCACACCCACAAAGAAGAGCAGCATAGTAATGGACCAGAGAACATTATATTATATATATATATATATATATAGAGAGAGAGAGAGAGAATGTCCCAAATTTGGGGGCCCATCTCATTAAAATAAAAACTTCCTCTAAAAGAATCCCATTCCAGTGAATGGAATAACCATGGACTAGTAAAAACGGTACCCCCATATGAATGCGGAATATCCCGGCCCAGCTACAGAGGGGTATGCAGATAACAAGACGGCTCGATATACAGCAAAGCAGGCAGAAAGCATCAGAGTTCCCAAACAGTTCACTTCGGCTTCACTGAATAACAGTGATTAAAACAGAAGAGAACGATTACCTTTGTAACTTTTTAAAAAAACTACTCACCTTTCACGCTTGCTTCTTTGCTTCACAGCAAGTTAAGAGAACATGCAGCGGTACAGCCCCCACAGGGCGCCCTCATTTGCTCAGCGAGAGGGCTGACCGCGCCCAAGCGCTGCAGCTGTAGCGTCCTGTCTTAACTGTCGTGTTAGAGACGCAGAGAGGGCGGCATCATAGTGGTTATTTCAAGCAAACTGAAGACCCACGTTCCAGTCCTAGCTCCTCAGGCACCTGCCCCCTCACAGCCAAGGTTCTTCCTTAAAAAGATGTCAGGTATCTTTGAGAGGATGGAAAAGGAGGGGCTGATGTCATCCTGTCTCTACCATAAACCAGCCATCACCTTATTGGGTTCTATGGATAGTCCAAACCTAAACCCCTTTTCCTCCCAACCCTGCCCTTCAGTATTAATAATTTGACTATTTATCTGTCATTTAACAGTGAGCAACTTGCAGTGTCTTCACCTCCTTGAGAACAGTGGAAGATCACAGAATTTTTCTTACAACCTGCAATCAGCTAAGCCATCAAGAAACAAACTAAAGCTTCGACTGCCTAAGGAGGGAGACTGTGCCCGGGGGGCTCGAATAGCCAGTGCAGACTTCAAGTTCTCGGATTAGCTTTCACACTTTAGGCAGCTTTAATATCCCAAAGCCTTATTAGCCTGACTGTGTGGCAGCAAGGGGAAAGGAAATGTGTCTTCCTCCTGCTCCACACAGCGCTGCCTGTGAACCCTTCACCTGTTCTGCAAGGACCAGGGTGGTCCATGCGTGCGCAGGGCTGCCCGCCCGCCTCCACGTCGGCGGGGCTGGGAAAGAAGACCGTGTAACAGCGAGTCTCCGCAGAACTGAGAAGCGAGCACTGAGGACGCTGCTGGGTCGGGGTGTCTGCCTGCCGGCGGGTGCAAGCCTGCTTTGCTGACTCCAGTCTGAAGAACCTAAATGAGATGGCTCACTTGATGTGAGCCTGGCCCACAGCAAGTGCCTTCAGCTCACGACTTTTCTGGAATCAAATGCAATGGACTTCATTACAGACACCACATCCAGAGTCGTGGCCCAGTGTTTGCTTTGAGAAATTCTAAGACTGTACTAGGTATACTGTTGATGGCTTACATTTTACAGTTTCCGTGTCAGACTCTGAAGGCCATAGGCTGCGGCCACGTCCTCTGTGAACTGTGTTCCTTCTGCTGAGCGCCGGCGGCTGCGCCTCAGCACCGAGGCCTCGAGTCGGCAGGCCCACAGACCAGATCACGCGGGCACAGGCTGCCAGTTCGGGCCTTAACCTCCTCCTCCTTTTCTGCCTGACCTGCGGAGGTGAGCCGTCCTGTCAAATTGCCATTCCTCTGGCACTGTGCAAACTATGCATTCCAGCTCTTGAAGAACATCTGGTTTAAATAAAATCAGTGATTATGGGCTTCTTCATCTTTTAAGGGCAAAGCTACTAGGAATGAAACAATGACATATTAGGCTCACAAGTATTTCTAGGACTGCTTACGTTTTAAGATCACTGCCACCCCTGTCCTGACAGTGAGAGACTGGAAACAATAAAGTGTTAAACACTTGGATTTTTTTTTTATAGTTGGCTAATTACATCATTATTGTGAAAATGATTCTAACAAAAATTATAATCACTAGTAGAAAAATAATTTTTTAAGGGTTTTGCAGCTCAGACCAAATACCACTTAGGTATAGCAAAATTCACAACAATGGGAGTACTGTCTTGAAATCCTGCTAGAAATCCTCTGTAAACAACACAACTCCATAGCGAGAAGCAAGCACTCCGAAACCAAACCAAACCAAACCAAACACTAGTCTGTTGCTGTCTGAATGAACTGGGACTGAGAACACAGAATGAGGTTTGCCACGATGGGGCCACAAGGATTCAGCTGGTTTCTTAGAATATAACAGGAGGTACCACATTATTGCTCTGTATTTTATATACTTAGCTATGAAGATGTATATACTTAACCACATATCACACGCTAGTCCAAGAAGCCAGCCTGTGCATCCACGGCAACTCCCAAGCATTATTTTCCTGTTTCAGTACAAAGGACGGTTCATAAGCAGCTTCTTTAAAAGTTCAGCTTTAATGACAAACATCTATTACACCAGTCTCTTCAAAATCAGACGTGAGTGCACAGTCTCCGACAGAGCGCTGCAGGGGCTCTCAGTACACCGCGCTCAGGGCGCGGGGGCCCTGGGGATGCCCCGCGACGCACACGTTGAAGCAGTAGTGCAAGTCCGTGAGCCACTGCTCCTGCTCACCGCCGCTCCTCAGTGTCTGCGGAGGGAAGAAAGCAACGTGAGCGCGGCCACAGCTGCTTCCCGACGGTTTCATCACAGCCCAGCAAGGCCTCGGAGTCCCCGCAGGGGCGTCCTCCTCCATAAACCACCACAGGAGAGCTCACCGGAAAGGGGACCTGTTACTGGGGGACTGCCGCAGGGGGTTAAACCTCCTGCTGCATCCTCGGCACAAGCGCTACCCGTTTCTTACTGGGTCTCTCCCCTCCACCTCTGCTAGGCACTAATGAAACTGCACCATTAACCACCCCTCACTCTGTATTGCTGCCCTTTTGCATTCTAGAATCTCATGATCTCTGCATTAACATCAACTGAGAATAATAATTCTATAGGACTCAATTTGTCATCCTTATACAGATGGGCTGATTTTCTCCAAATTCTTGACTTTCTTCTATTTCTGAATTCTGCTTCGTCTTCCATTACTGATGAGATTCAGAATGCATCCTATGTTTATGCATGTATAAGCTCTATGACTCTGAAGTATTATTACATATACCAATTAAAAAACCTCATTTCAACTCTCCAAACCAAAACACCCGGATGAACCTTAAGAACCGCCCGTTACAAAGCTGAAGTCCACAGCTCGCAGCTTCTCCCCCTCTCCAGTGATCTAAGTGACTGGAAACAGGTCTGCAGCTCAGTCCTGCTAAACCTCCTCAGTGGCAGCCAGTATCGGTTGGGTACTTAATAAATGTCAGCTACAGTATAAACTTTACTTGGATGATTTCATTTAATGGTCAAAAAAACCCAACAAAGTTGCTACTATTTCCATTTCTACAGCTAGGAAAACAAGCTCACATAGGTTTTAAAAAAAGAAAAGTTGCCAACTCACCCAATCAATAGAATCTGTATCACAATCCAGTTAGGATTGACTCTGATGCCTGTACCTTTTCCAACTAAGCTGTCTGCCACCTTAGTTTAGTTAGAGTATTTTAGGGCTTTTAGCACTGATTCTGGAATCAGACGCCAGGGGAAGTCCTGAGAAACCACCACACTGGGCTTACTCCCGGGGTCTGTCCAGGTGCAGGAGCCCTGGCCTCCCACGGCCGCCTCCATGCCCGTGAACCTAGTACACGCGGCAGACGGCCTGCTCGCGCTTCTTACCGTGATATTCTTGATGATCTGCTGCACCAGGATGGCGTTGGTCAGCATGTGCGTCCTGAGGGGCGCGTGCTGCAGCAGCAGGCGGAGCAGCTGGCCCACAACAGGCAGCTCCTCAGGCCCAGCCCTGCTCACCCGCAGGCTCTGCAGCATCAGCCTGAGGACTCGGGGCAGGAGGGCCAGGACGGACACGCAGACCCCCCAGAGCCTGTCCCTGCAGAGCGAGAAACACGTCAGCGGGCGGACGCAGGCGGGAGAGCGGTTCCCACACTTCCGAGACTGAGCAGTGTCCTTCCAATGAGAAACAAAGTGTTTTCTGATAAAACCCCACAAACCAAAACTAGTTAAGAACTGAGTTTCATGAGAGCTAAGTAAGCAAATGCAGTGAAGAATTAGCTGCCTTCCCCTATTTTAGGGGTTTCAGAAAGCCTAGCAAGCAGCATTTTCCTGGGCAAGACATTCTTGAGGCCCTAGTGATCATATTTAACACAGAATTCACCAGAGAACAGAAAGACCTGTACATACATATTATTCTCTACCAGTGAACATTATTAAACCGTTGTATAATACCAAAGGTCAAACGGGAAAGAATATCCCATTGCTAAGAGAAAGAAAAGAACCTCATGAAACTCTAAGCCTCTGATGTGGATTCTGAGCTGCTTCAAGGTGCTAGAACAGGGCAAATTTGCAGAGAAATATGTACTCACAAGGAACCAAAAGGGATGTGAGAAAATAGCCAGTCAGGGAACTATCATGGGCCAGAGATAGTAAATCCAAATTTCAGTTAGCATCATTCTTTTGGTAACTTTATAGAACAGGAACAAAAATGTTTTTATGAGAGCGGTAAATGGTCTAACCACAGTCTAGAAAAGTGCAATTAAATGGAGGCAAAGCCCACTGGCTGCTAAAGGCTCTGATCTTAATCTGTTACGGTTTCAAGAGTGCATAGCCGTCCCAGTCCCAAGACATTCTAAGAAAACCTGACTAGCTCTAGACACAGAAGCAGCAAACCTTTCACCATCTGACCTCCCTCCCAAGTCCACACACAGCAAACGCATGGAAGGTGGGTAATGGGTCCATCTTAAGGCAACCAGATCCGCTCACCAGAGACTTTACTCAGCCTGTGGCCTCATGCACGGCCAGGTCAGGACGGCCGTGTGCAAGAGGAGAAAGTCAGACTGAAAGACACAGTGATGATGAGGCAAGGGCACAGAGATGGTGACTACGCAGTCTAGAGGAGAAGCCACTGTGGTTCTTGCTGGGCTTCACATTCCTGCCTGCACAATTCTTACCCTTTGGGGTTTTGTGGGGATTTTTTTTTTTTTAAATAAGTCACTACTGTAATGATCCAATATATTCATTTTCTACTTGAACTTGAGTGGATTTCAAATAACTGTGGATCAAAACTTCTAAAAGGACTCATGGATTCCACATCATACCGAAATAAGTATACTGAAGGGATGAGTAGTTTAGAATTTCACCTTCACACACCACAATTAAAGAAAACTGTCAGGTCAAAAAGAAGATGACCTGGGGAACCACAAACGATGGAAGCAATACCATTTAAGAGTCATTCTTAGGTTTTTCTAAGAGTTGTCATGCACAAAAATAGCTGTACTTAACTATAAAGTATTTAAAGGACAGAACCGGGATCAATGAAGTTGAGATTTTAGCTCAACAGAGAACAGTGGTTCTAAACCACTCTAAAGGAACTGATGAAAGTCCAATATTTCATATATAATTTTAAGGAATTCCACTAACTGCAAACTTCAGATATATTTTTGCCAGATAATACCAACCAAGCCTCCACCCCCTAAACGCAGAGAAATATGGATAATATAGTTTAAAAAAAATGCAGCCAAGCTCAAAAGCTAGAATGGTGAACTCTCTAGGTGCCAGAAATTGACAGAACTCTGACAGATACACAGGGGCGTGGAACTGGATGTGGGGTTTCAGGACCCGTTTCCAATAGCCAACAGCACTGGAAGACAAGGCTTCAGCCCCAGGTATAGAAGGTCGGGAGCTAGAATTGGGCTCCCTGCAGAGAGCTGGAAGCCAGGGAAAGGCAAATGGGAAACTGCCCCACAGGGAGGTCTCCACAGACTCTCACAACAGATGAATTCAGAGAAAGTCATACAACCCAAACATGAGGTTGTTCCTTCATCCCCACGAGAGACAATTTCTAGAGCCTGACCTGCTCCCCAAAACAAGGGAGAATTCCCACACTAGGGAAACAACGAACAAAGAAAACTGATAAGACATTTAACACCACTGAATGAAGAATAAGCAAGAATGACAAAGAGCCAAGTAAAAACTCAAAACGCATCAGAGAAAACAGCGGCGGACAAAAACTCAACAGAAGGGTTAAAGAATTAGCAAAATGGAAGATGTTAGTTAAGAGAAGACAGAATCAGATGCTCCTTATGTTTAAAAGGAGTTTTTAGGAGAGAACAGAAATAGTGGGTGAGATAATAGAAATAAAAACAGTACTTCCCATACCTGAAAAAAAATCCCAACTGTCTTCAGATTAAAGGAGTGAAGTCTGTCTCAAGCAGGGTAAATAATAACAGACCTGCACTAAGATATAACCTGACTTCAAGACGACAAAGAGGAGAGAGTCAAAAACCACAGAAAAGAACAGACCACCATCTACGAGGCCAGAGGGCTCAGCTGAGCAGCCGATCTTTCATTTATTAACAGAGTCCAGGAAGCAACACATTTCTTCAGAGTGCCGTGGCCACAGTTTAGAATACCTCAATTGGTCCAGGCCAATTTTTTGGTTAGCACTTGTGGCATCTGGTCCCATCACTTCATGGGAAATAGATGGGGAAACAGTGGAACAGTGTCAGACTTTATCTTTTGGGGCTCCAAAATCACTGCAGATGGTGACTGCAGCCATGAAATTAAAAGATACTCCTTGGAAGGAAAGTTATGACCAACCTAGACAGCATATTAAAAAGCAGAGACATTACTTTGCCAACAAAGATTTGTCTAGTCAAGGCTATGGTATTTCCAGTGGTCATGTATGGACGTGAGAGTTGGGACTGTGAAGAAAGTTAAGTGCTGAAAAATTGATGCTTTTGAACTGTGGTGTTGGAGAAGTCTCTTGAGAGTCCCCTGGACTACAAGGAGATCTAACCAGTCCATCCTAAAGGAGATCAGTCCTGGGTGTTCAATGGAAGGACTGATGTTAAAGCTGAAACTCCAGTACTTTGGCGAAGAGCTGACTCACTGGAAAAGACCCTGATGCTGGGAGGGATTGGGGGCACGAGGAGAAGGGGACGACAGAGAATGAGATGGCTGGATGGCATCACTGACTCGATGGACATGAGTCTGAGTAAACTCCGGGAGTTGGTGATGGACAGGGAGGCCTGGCGTGCTGCTATTCATGGGGTTGTGAAGAGTTGGACGTGACTGAGCGACTGAACTGAACTGTGAAATCAAAAGTTCCCAGTAGCCTGACTGGCACTCACTGTCTGTAATCTCACAATCACCGTGTGTGGGAGGGAGGAGCCCAAAAGGGAAACTGAAGTACCTAAGGCTCTGGCTGCCAGCCCTTTCTTGTGCCCAAGTTACGTCATTCGGAGATGCATGTGGTCCAGGTAGTATCAGACTCTCCAATACCCAGCACAAAACACTTTTAAAACAGAATTTTTAAACAGACAAAATGTATTAAATACACTGAATTCTGTTCAGTCCAACCACATACAATCAAAGCAGAATGTTCTATAAGAAACTAAGATGACCTCTGAAACATAAGTGTATCACAAGGGGCCTATATTTCAAGTGACAGGAAATGACAAATAGCAAAATACCTATTTCATAAATGGGGATGCTCATTATAAAATCTTTATAACCCTGAGAAGTTCCTTGCTATTTATTTACAAAGGCTTTTCCTGAGCTATAAGACCTAAAGCTTGATGATGCGTAAGAAAAGTACCACCGGATCTATTTATTTATGTGTAAATTTTACAGGATACTAACAGTGAAATCTACCAAGTTTTAAATACACATAACACTTTGTGGGAAAAATCCCAATTAGTAAGTTATAGTACATTCATAAAACGGAATACTACAAAGCAAGGGTACCAGACCACAGCCAATCCTGCTTGCAGCCTGTATTTGTAATAAAATTTTATTGGAACACAGCCACATTTATTCATTTATGTATCATCTGATGCTGCTTTCATAGATCAGGGGGTGCTGAATAGTTCTGACAAGACTTTATGGTTTGAAAAACCTAAAATATTCACCATCTGACTCTTTACATAGAAAGAAGTTTGCTGACTCCTGGTATAGAGAAACAAAATGAATTACATCCTTAAATCAACACGAGTAACTCTCACAATGATGATGAAAATCAAGTCACAAAAAATACACTATGATTCTTTTTTATCAAACTCTTAAAACATGCAAAACAAAAATGAATTGTTTATAAATGCACATAAAATTTTTAAATAAAAAGGCAACAAAGTATTTATTTATTTTAAATAAAAAGGCAGTTAGTCAACACAGAAGTGATCTCTGGAAGTGTAAAAGAGAAATGTAACTATGGAAAGGGCATGGATAGAGTGCATGCTGACGACGTTCTATTCCTAAACCAAATTAGGAATTTGGCTAAATGGATGTTCAGTTTATACACTTTAAACTATTTAAATGTTTTATACAATCATATGTATGACATATTTCTATGACACTTAAAAGTTCAAAAAAGACTTGAAAGGCAAATGTCAAAAAGTGACAGAATGACTTTTATTTTCTTACACGTGCTCATCTCTTAAGACTTTAAAAACCTTCTTGCAATGAACTGTTTACAGCATACCGACAAGAACAGAAGCATGACAACACTTTTTGAAAATGAAAGTGAAACCTTCCATACTATCCTAGAAGCTTTAGTTTAAAAATGATATAGAAGCAAAAGTAATAATTAAAAACACCAGCATCTTAGGACAATTTCCTTAAACCCACGAATTTAAAATTTGACTCTGGCTAGTTCTAATGAAGTCCAAACAAAATACAAAGGCTCGTATTAGTAAGTCCATCCTTGTAAAATGTAGAATTTTTTTTTGCCAGATCTATAGCAAAGTTAAGGAAAGCTCCCAAGAAACTCTATAATACCATTTAACTTTTCCAATTTGTAGCTTACAAGAAAAAACAAAAACTAAGACTGCTATACCACATCACAAACGGGACTCACAAAAGAACAAAGCAGCGGGTAGCTAGGGATATATGAACTCTAAAAAAGAATTAGATTTTGGAAATATCTTTTATGGATTGACTGAAGGGAGTTGAACAAGTAGGAAAAAAATTAAGTTTACGAGTACAAAACTGTTACCTTTTTCTTAGGTGTTCTGCTTCTCCTTTCTCTAAAGTAAGCAGAAAATAGAGCAGACTGTAGCAACAAGAAGCCAGGAAGGGCAGCAGGGCCTCACTCAGGACACACGTGTGATCCAGGAGCTTACAGACGACGCCCAAGACACAGCCGGCCGTGCTGTCGGGGATCACAGTCAGCCCGACCTGGGCAGAGAAAACTGAGGTTAGCGACCTCTTCACAACAGCCCTTCTCCCCAGCACAAAAACAAGTACCATCACCTGGACAGTTAACCTCCCATCACTACTGCTGGCTCAGATGGTAACGAATCTGCCTGCAATGTGCAAGACCAGGTTTAATCCCTGGTTTGGGAAGATCCCCTGGAGAAGGGAGTGGTAACAGACTCCCAACATCCTTGCCGGAGAACCCCATGGACACGGGAGCCTGGCAGGCTACAGTCCACGGGGTCACACAGTCAGAGTGACTGAACGACAACACTCCTCCTCCTCCTGGTGGGAATTAGTATAACCTCAACACATGCTGTGCCACCCACCACCTCTGAGGGTCCCGTTTTCCTCTGACAACTTAACTGCTACCCGAAATGACTCTGAAAATATTTAAACTCAAGAAATACTATCAATCCAATCCCCCGCATCGCCTTCAAGACAGTCTCTTAAATTTTCTACATGTTACAATTTCTGCTGCTGGCCAGAAATATTATGTAAAAGGATTATTTCATGCATCCGAAGAAAATCTTGATGCCAACAACCATATTTACATGATCCCAAGTATTCAGACCGGAAAATGCTAATCTGGCACCACCCCCATTCCCAGGAAATTCAATGCACAAACCAGAGTTCATTTTACAACTATCCTTCCCCTGCCCTTTGCTTTGACCGGTCATTCAGACATAACCAAAGAAAAGCATCTGCACTGGAGTAAGGTAACACTGTACCTACTCTTGACTGCCCCACTGCCCCAGACCCGGACAGGGAACATCATGGTGCACTAGCTCACGGACTCTACTGGATAAACAGTCATTAAGGTGGACTCTAACTTGTAACTATAATAGTACACAGTTAAAATCTCCCACAAGCAACTGTTGAGTAATCATAGTCTGCAGGCTCTCAAGGCCTTCACCTTTCTACCAGGCTGTGTAAAGAAAGTGACCAAGACTGACTGGAACGCTGATCTTGGAATAGTGAATGTAATCAAAGGAGGGCATACATTTCTAGAGTGGAAGTTAAAAAAAAGAAAGATGGGGATCTTTGGAGATACAGTGTATATGGATGGGAAGTCTGATAGCAGGAAGAAAAGTATACTGAGAATTCAAAGTGGTAGTCTTCCAGCTTGAGGGAAGTAAAGAACAGGGGGTGTGCACGTGCCTAAAAAATCATCCAGACGAGTGGCAGTCCCTTGAGGAAACCCTTGGGGGCACTCCCTCGCACTGGAATATATCGTTATACTAAAAGTCAAAGACCAAAGTGTGAAGGCTGGAGGAAGTGAAAAGTAAAACCCAGGCATACCTAATGAGAATTCAATACCAGTGGGAACAAGAGACACCCAGAGGCCAAAAGACAAGTCAGTTTCAGAGCTAAGCTCACCGTTTCCAGTGACCAGGCCTTAAGCCCTTCTCCACACTTCACCCCTTCTAGGTATGACACGAGGCACATGTTCATGAAAGCATTTCAAGTCAGAAAGACCCAAGGTATCACTTTAAGGTCTTTCATTGCTCATATGTAGAGAGCAAGGTCCTGGAAAAGCGGGGGATTTCCCTAAGGTCACAGAATTGATTAGCAACAGCCAGCAAACTAACCAAGATTTCTCAGTTCTCACCACAGATGAGAGGCCACAAAATTATTAAGCGTAGATTCCTGGACACTCTCTCTCTCTCCTGATTATGGCAAACCAAATCTTAACCAGTGAATCTCTATGCTTTTTGTGTAACAAAAAAATGTTAAGTATATTTACCAAATGCTTACTGATGGCACTCTGCAGGACGTCAAAGCTCTGGCTTCGGACGGGGACGACCAGGAAACTGTGACAGACCGTCTGCCGGAAGGGAGAGAGCCAGCACCACATCAGAACACCGTAGGTCAGAGACAGGTCCAGTCGTTTTGTTTTAAACCTACTTGCTCTACATATTAGAAAGAAACTCAATAAAAAGTGACTCTAAAGATGGAAACATCAATCAATCAATCCTCATATATATGGGCTGATTTTCTAAATAATTCATTTATTAAATACTTACTGAGCACTGTGGAGAAGGAAATGGCAACTCACTCTGGTACTGTTGCCTGGAGAATTCCATGGACAGAAGAGTCTGACAAGCTACTGAATATGGGGTCACAGAGAGTCGGACACGGCAGAGTGACTGCCACACACACTGAGCTAGTCTTACCAGGCTCTACGCATAGGAGTGAAAGAATGG